TCTCATGGCACCTCGTAGAAAATGCAAAAAGCCCTGCAACTTGGAGAATCATAAGATCCCATATAACATGCTTCTTGTGCCAGTGTGCTGTGGAACTACAGCATTGATTGTGCTATTAGGCTTAATTGTAGTTTGTATATTTACTGCAAATATATTCCCAATGCCATTAACTATACTGAAAAGCTGGATGTCACATGATTTAAAAAATCCTATAAATGAATCTGAGATAATTCCATGTACCTCACTCTCGTCCAGTGTTTTATGGGCCAGATCATTTCCAAAGTTAACACCTGAGGCACCTCTTAGGAGTAATGATGTTAACTCTGATGGAATTGAAGACATTATTGTAGGATTTAGTACAGGTATAAAAAGTATTATGTTTAATTTCAAATAAATGAATGTTTTTTGTGAATGTTTTGTATTATTTTGATTTTGTTTCACTTTCTTTTTGTATATATTATAATTTATAATTTTCTGTGTTACTATGTTGCATTGTGATTTGTAATTGGCTAGTTCTATTTTATTTGCTTCTTTTACAGATTTGGTTTGACATTTACATGATGTTTCTTTACAATCTAAGGTGAATTATTAATGTTTTTTTCTTATTAGATTATTAATTTGATCAGTCACTGTAAAGATATTGATTTATAAATTTAGGTCTGGATATGATGGATACAGAATATATCTGTACTATATATTTTGGGAATCAAACGCCGTGTCTAGGCGGTGTACTAGCACTGAATGGTAAAACAGGTGAACCTATCTGGACACATTGGACTGCTCATTCCATACTTTCTGTTGATTGCGATGCAGATTTGACGAATGATAAAGTTAAGGATTGTATCATATCTGGACGTGGTGGAATACTACAAGCTATTAATGGCCATGATGGTTCCAATATATGGAAAATACCACTTCAAGATCTAATTTCTGAGTTACAAATAATTTCGGATGTCTATGATGCAAGATTTATAGCTGATATGGATGGCGACGGTATTGCCGATGTAATAGCATCGCATGTTGTACAATCAGATAATATTCAAGCAAGTAATGTACTCGTAATATCGGGTAAAAGTGGCAGTGTCATACGCAATATGAATTTACCAGATACTGAGCAATTGTTCGTAGCACCGCAAATTATAGTGCATCCTGATGGAGAAAATATATTCGTTCTAGCTACAACCAGTCAACAAGATTCTGGAGGATTATATATAGTGTCTCAAGCTAATATATTTTACGGTGATTTGGTATGTAGTCATAACAAGATCTGTTAGATTTTCTTTTATTATTATGAAAAGATTATCACGTTAATTGCTACTTTGACTATTTTTGTTGCAGCAATTGCAAAAACTCAATCATAACACTGGCAAAAATGCGCTGTTGCCACCGATTTTAATCGATATTACATCTGATGGAATTGAAGACATTGTCGCTGCTATGTTCAATTCTACGATTATAGCATACAATGGAACTACGTTTGAGCCTATCTGGAATTACACAGTTCCTAATTCCGAAGTAATTAGCATTCCCATTCCCGGTTATTATAATGACGACGATATACCAGACTTTATGGTGAAGCATCAGATAGGAACTGGCTTATCCACATACTATTACACCGTAGCTACAGTTATAGATGGTCGTAATGGGCAACCTTTGCTCGAGAAACCAATGGAGGATAGTTTAAGTGGGCAAATGTCTGGATTATCGGTCACTGTCGATGGGTTTGGCAATGATTGGTTTTTACATTGGTCTACCGACTGTTTAAATTATGAAGGAATCAAGGAAAAATATCAGTTCTTAAAAGGTCAGAGTTTCATGTCGCAAACTCGCACTGATCTCTGCTCTCTAAGATTCAATTCGACGCTTACTATGAGATTACTAGCTTTGAGTCAACATGTCGGCCCGCCTGGATTGTCGTTATACTTCTCGGAGGACTGGAAGTCGGTAGAGTTCAATAATTCAGTCGATCTACGAAAAGAAGAGGAAAAGAATCTGAAATCCCATTCGCGATTAAAGGTCACGGATACTTATTCAAACATACCACTCGTTTCCGAGAGATCGCCAAAAATTCATAAAAATCATCGGAAAGATAGCATTTTCAAACACAAAGATAGTCTACTCGAAATTGGCAAATATGATTCGGACGCGATATATGAGAACTTCAACGAATTCAAGAGTCATAAGAAACATAATCCCGAAGACACTGTAGAGAATTTGAACGTAGATCAAGCATGGAAACAGGATAACAAATGGATGGAGGATGATGTGCAGCCGGATAAAGAGTATGATAGTATATACGAAAATGATAACGGTAACAATGAAGACGGACAGAGTGTAGATTATTCGCAAGGTGAAGTGCGAGAACAGAGAAGTGTCATTCCCGTGGTTAAAAATATATATTCGATAAATATTTCTCATAAAGAAATTAATTCAACACCTGAATCGACGCGACATAGTTTACGACTGAATGAAGAAATTAACACAGAAAAAAAGAGAAAAATGGAAGAAATCAATAAAAAAAATGGCTCAATGAACGAAGCTGATGATATAATGAATATATCAATGACATCAACTTCCCAATTTTCAAAGTTATCATTAATTATGTCAAATAAATCAAATTTCGAAAAGAGTACTACAATACAGAATGTATTAAAGACGAGCGAATTAATAGAAATAAAGAGCATAAATATAAGTACAGAATTGCCTGAGGACACACATACTGAAGCATCAAATGTTACTAAAAATCAAATAATCACTGGTCCAGATACAACTTCCACTATTAAGAAAGTCGTAGACATACCTCAGCGAAGACACATTTATAAACATAGTTTCCCTAGTATTGTCCAAGACGCGGATGATGATGCTAGTATAGAAAAAGTATTTAAACGGGAATCACTGAAAAATCAAAGTAAAGGCAAGATTAATAAGAAGCAATTACTATTATCGTCAACTGATAAAGTTGTTAAAACACGACAGAAACGAAGAACGAAACGAAACTCGGAAATTAACAACAACCAGTCGAACGATATCAATGGTATTCAAAAGCAGGCACCAACCGGTATTCTGCTACCGTCTATTATCGAATCCAAAGAAAAGACATCGATAGATTTAGTGTTTCCTACGTTCTGGTTACCGTCGTCTGAAGTGTCTCTGATCTTGTCTCGAGCAGATGTGGAGTGCATTGACAAGAAGAAAGCATTATTAGAGGATAAACTAGAGTACAAAAAAGATGACGACATTATCAGCGAATGTTTATCCGAGCGAGGCATTAATTACAGATTATATCAAGAGGCAATGGATAGAGAAAATACCAAAATCGCATTTGGTCAAATGACAATATACAGGATGAAACTAGAATGCGTATGTCCAGAGGATATGCTACCTAATCAAACATGCAAAAATATTTCAATACATCAGAGCTGGCCAGAATATTTAGGATCTTCTGGAAATGGCTACTTTAAACCATTACATAAATTAAATATTTGAAGAAACTATAATATCTTGTCGAATTATATAAATTATTGAGGAAACTTTTATTGTAAATTGTAACGTTCTCTAATGGAATCGTTAAAAAATTATCAAATAGTCACGTGCGCTATTTGTAAAATTATACAATAACGATCGTAATTCTAATCAATATTGTTATATAAAGTAATTTATATTAATATTTATATGCAGTTTTCTTCGCGAAATAGAAAGGATATATATGCGTATTTGTACATATAAGAATATTGTTGCTCTCGCATTTAAAACTTTTATCAGTTAATTTTTAAGAGAATTGCTGTAATCACATATCTGTTAATTACTTACTGATAATTAAAAGTTTTTTTTTTAAATGCAGTTATGAATGAAGAAGTAACTGTATGTGCCAAAGGAGACGACAGTTTTTTTATGTGTGTATCAAATATATTACAAAATTTATCATAACTTACAATTGCATAGAAATTGATATAATTAATGTTGAAAGTAT